GATGGTGGGCGGGCAAAAATTAATATCCAACTGATGAATCCATATCTTAATTGCCTCCTCCTGGCTGTCATTCAATGCTCTATTCAGTGGAACCCTCATAGTCCTTGATTTCTTCCCGTTGATCCTCCCATACAAGGTGGCATATGGGACTTTGAATTCTCGCGACAGAGATGTGATTTTTAATTTTGAATTGCTTTTGTACGCGTCAACAGCTCTTTGCAACTGCTCCTCAGTGTAATTAGAAGATTTAAGCATGGTTATAATTAATGATGATTATTTGAAGATGAAGAATGAAGATATTGATAATATTTTCCGTACGCTGTGGTTTTCCGTACGCTGTGGTTTTCCGTACGCTGTGGCGCACTCACTAGAGAGAGTGAGTAAGCATGGCACGGTTAGTGCCCAACATTCTACACTTCTTGTGGGAGGATAACGTTGTTGTCATTACTAAAACTAACTACGCGAGAGCAACACAATATGTTGGGGGGCACGTGATAGGGTAGCCGTAGTACCCACTAACACCCCCCCGTGCTACGGCGCCGCCAATGCACTGCCGCCCGGGGGCCCCCTTTGCTCAATTCTTCCAAAAACACAATAACAATTAATTACAAGATTTGGACCCTGATTTCCTCTTTGGGAATAGGTGCCCATACAGCAATAACTATAAAAAACAGAATAATACAAGCAAAATTCCGTAATCTCCCGTACCACTGATACCATTCTTTTCCTTCCAACAAGGTCGTTCCATATGACTTATCATCAAACCAGGCCAAGTTGTATTTGAAAATTCACCCTCCACGGGCATATCCATGTTCTTTGTGGTAGGGACTGCCCCATCTACCACCCATCCTTTCCCATAGATCACTCTTCGCACAATCATATTGATAGATATAGGGTGCCCATCGCCCCCCCAAACCACATCACGGTCGCTATCAGTATCAAGATCATCATCGCCTGTGGGATCATCATCACTTGTAGGATCGTCATCGCTTGTAGGATTGTTATCGCTTGTAGGATTGTTATCACTTGTAGGATTGTCCTCCATTGATCCATCCAAACATTCCATCTTGGAATCCATATCAATATCCACACTGCTGTAGCCGCTATCATCACTGGTATCGCTGATATCATCACCAACATCATCGTTGGCATCGTTGGCATTGCTGGCAGTGTTGGCATTGCTGGCAGGCCGCCCAGCAAAGATATCTTCTATAGCTGTCCACAGAGCATAGGCAGATAGTTCCTTGGGTGTAACAAGATAAGATCTTGCTTGCAGAGTGATTGCAAACCACATGTAGTTATACAGCCACATATTGCATTCTTTCCAAAACCGTTGCATATCAGCACTGGCATCCTCTTTGGGTCCAAGTTGTCTCTCATCTATGATATCAATTGTATGAGATTGCCTCGCTGCGAGGAGGATCTCTTCCCTCCACACTGAATAATTCACAAAACCAGTGAGGATAACTGGCTCCCTTATGAATCTCACTTGGTCACGGAATTCATTAAGAATCTTCACAATAGCAGACGTTCTGCCTTTTCTCTGCAGATAGTTTGCTAAATCTGCATTAATGTTCTCATCACTAGCAGAGGGTTCACCTCTACTTGCTTTCATC